CTGAGTTAGTTCTCTCTTCCCTCTCATTTATGTAAATAGTCGTTCCCTGTGTTTGTTCTTTTTTGCTTATAAGATCATTAGTTTGTTGGGATAAATTGGAGTGCATGAGGTAAGGTCCTTGTGGTCTGCTACCACTCGACTCAGGCCCTCTGTGGGGGGCCCAGTCTAGGACTGTGGAGGGGAGACTGGAGCACTCTGTGAAAGCTGATTCATGTTTGTGCCGACTTACAGGAGTCTCAGTGGGAGTAAGTGACTCTTCAGATGCTACACCAATGTAGTTTGTTTCAGCTTGCCCTTTTCTTCCCAGTGTGTCATCTCTCTGAATGCCGCCAGCCTCACTTGCCTCTGAATCTTGTTCAAAACTTCTCTCTGAAGTCAGTCTTTTAGCATCTTTTTCAGCTCTTGCTCTGCTATCCTGTCTGATTGGTACTCTTCTGGCGAACGATATCCCTTCTGTATTTTTCACTGATGCTATCGTGAATCCTTTGTCTCCATCTGCAATCCCTACCTTCTCTGTAGCTCTCTTATTGACAGGCTCGACTTTCTTAAGCTCACTCCTTTGCTTTTTCCACAATTCTGCATCACTTTTCTCTTGCATAACTTCACTCTTTTCTTCTTCGGTTTTTAAGTCTTTCTGCTTTCCAAAGCGCTCCTTGTAGCTTGGTCTGAGTTTTGTTACCCCTGCTACATCTACCCAGGGAGCAATGTTTTTCTCTGGACGAGTCGTCCCTTGACCCCCCACATCCCCTAACCCATTCTCCGCACCACCAATGACTCGATCTGAGAAGCTAAAGGAGCGTTTTGGGATGCTTCTTAGTATTTCGTTCTTTCCATTTGCCTTTCTCTCCTCAGATTGTCTATCATCTTGATCTCCGGAGTATTTTCTTCTCCCTGGTTGGAGGAAATTATCTGAACTTTTGGACCGAGATGGAGGTGTTGGATGTCCTCCGAACTTACTCAATAGCTGGCTGACTCTCCCTCCCCTCTCTATAAAAACATTATCATCACAGCTTTCTCCTCGATCTTCTTTATTAATAACCGTTGCCTGGCCCCAGGGCCTATCCTTCTCCTTTTCTCTAAGCCTGGACGTTTCTAATTTCATATCTCTGGATAAATCCAAGCAGCTCCTCATTTCTCCTTCTTCTCTAGACTTTCCTCCTCCTGTCCGCCCTTCAGGGCTGATAGATGGCTTGATGATCAGAACTTCAGATGCCCGGATCTCTGTGACACTCCCTCCTCCTGCTAGGATTTCTCTGAGGTCCATCTTCATCCCTCTTTTCCCTTGCTGGTCCTCCTCGGGTGTCTCCCTTTCCACCTCCCTCCATCTTGCCCTCCTTTCATCGCTCCCTTTTCGGTCCTGTTCAATAATGATGATGTTGTCAGCTCGAATAGTTCGAAGACAAGGAAGGACTGATGGAAACTGACCAGATGGTTGAAGAGTATCTTTTTCCTCCTTTTTCACTTTAAAGAAGTCCTGCTCCTTTAGTACATCGCTACCAGATTCTTTCCACTGATTTTTATCTTTGTCGCCTTCTTGGTTGTTCTCCTTTTCTTTTCCCTGAATTTTTTCCCTACTCTTGTCTTTTTCCCACCCTTCAGTCAAATCCCTAAACTTTTCTATTTTCAGCTCGATATCTCGTCCTCTACTCATCTCCAGTTCTTGAGACCTGACATAGAGATATTCCTTCTCCTTCACATCCACTTCATTTGCTGACTCTGGATCCTTGCCTTTCCTCCACACACTTTGGGTGCGAATAAATGGGTTCTCATGAACCGGAACAATGGTTTCCACGGACACTTGACTCTCAGGTTTGGCCTCTGTGTCTAACCACATCCCAGGATCAGGACTGAGTGACATTTCACTTCCCAGATTAACTGTAATGGAGCTGTCAGTGTCACTCAATCCATCAGGAGTTCTGGCGTCCACCTGAAGCAAGCAGACTTCTCTGTCCCTGTCACCCAAACTCTCCTGCTTGGCCTTCCTCCTCTGAATGATTCCTCGCTTCCAAGCTGGCATGCTGGCCAGCTTTTCCTCCTCCTCCTTTTCTCTCCTCTCTCTCTGCTCTTCCTCTCTTCTCTTTCTCTCCAGAAGTAGTTGCTTCCATTCTGGTAGAGAAGACACAGACATAACAAAGAAGATATGGACCCCTTTGGTCAAGGTGGGCGAAACTTCTGTCCAGGGAAACTTCAGAAATGACCTGTAATAAAAAAAAAAATAATTATATATATTTTTATATATGAATCCATTGTTACTACATTAACTCTTAGTAAAGAATAAAGATTTCATAATACCAGTTGTTGAGTCTGGAATATAATTGCTCTAAATAAATGTGTCTAGGCTTTACAGAACTTTGATTTCAATTTTAGCTAAGCAAACAACAACAACAAAGATGAAAAACCTTACCACAACCCAAGTACTTTTAGCGGCCAACACAATTTAAGTCTCCATTTGTGGGTAAGGCGCTCCGTTTCCTGGCAAAGAGAAAAATCACACCAAAAGCGAATATAACTAACTAAATAAATAAATCAAAATCTTCTTAAGATGCAGAAACACCTCAAAACTTTACTTTGTATAAAAGGCAAGAACAACAGCCGCTTCCTACGACTTCAGCTCCAGAACTGCAGAGCTGTAATCCGATAATGGCAGTCAATTCCGTCAGGAGAGTTTAGCAGTGCACCATATTGTGGGAAAGAAAAGGAGTTTAAGCGAAGAACCGTCTGCCCGAATCACCCCCCCTCCTCCTGTCTGATCATCTCTCTGTCCCGGAGGGCTGACCTGAGAGGAGGAGGAGGAGGAAGAAGAAGAGGAGGAGGGAAAGGGTGCAACTATAACACAGACTCTGGTTTCTGCAAAGCTGCTGCAAGATCGGCTTTGATAGGCAGCCCAAAGCTGTAAAGCAGACTAATTTGTGTGTGTGTGTGTGTGTGTGTGTGTGTGTGTGTGTGTGTGTGTGTGTGTGTGTGTGTGTGTGTGTGTGTGTGGTTGTGGGGGGGTACCTGTCTAGCCATCAGGGAGGACCAGTTTTTCCAATAACACCATCACAATGAGCACCAGTTTTTGTAAAGTGAGGACATTTTGCTGGACCTCACAAGCTATTTCACTAATGGTTGGTTTAGGGCTAAGGTGTCCATTGGGTTATGGTGTGGTATGCATTGATAATGGTTAGGTATAGGACAAAGAAAGGGTTGAAAATGAATAAAGATCAATGGAAGTCAATGGGGATCATCCTCACTACATATAGCAGAACAAACGTGTGTGTGTGTGTGTGTGTGTATACCTGTCTAGCCCTCAGAGCTAGGACCATTTTTCCTATTTTTTTGCAAAGTGAGGACATTTTGCCGGTCACATGCTATTTTGCTAATGATTAGGTCTAGGGCTAAGGTGTCAATTGGTTGAGTTAGGGTGAGGTATGCATTGGTAGTGGTTACGTTTAGGGCTAAGGTTTCAATTGGTTAAGGTTAGGGTTAAGACTGATTTATACTTCGAAACTGGGTCGTCTGCGTAGGTGTCCCAGTGAACAAAGAGACGTATCCCGCCCTCTCCGCAGACACTCTGCTGCGCCTCTCCCAAATTGTAGGTGACCACAGACAGTGTCGCAGACAGGAGGCCGGCTTGTTTTGTTTTTATGACGGAAATTACGGAAAACAACTCATGAAGTTGGACCAGCTAGAAGAGCGAGGTGCGGGAGAACCCTTTTTCCACCTGGATCTCCACTCTTTTTCGCCCTCATGTTCCTCCGTTGTCAGACAAACTCGCCCCCACCTCCTCTCCGCATCAGCCGTATCTAGACCCACAGCGTATAGCACAGACCACGCTTCAATACTGGGCATAAATAAAAAAGGTCTGCGTCAAGCTCACTGCGACACAATGCTGCAGGAGTATAACTAGCCCTTTAGGGTGAGGTATGCATCAGTAGTGGTTAGATTTAGGGGCTAAGGTTTCAATTGGTTAGGGTTAGGGTGAGGTATGCATTGGTAATGGTTAGGTTTAGGGTTAGGGCATAGAAAGGGTTGAAAATGACTGAAAATCAATGGAAGTCGATGGAAGTCAACACATGGTCCTTACTACGATGGCAGAACAAGTGTGTGTGTGTCAAACATCAGAGAAATAGTTTCTATATTTTTTAGAGCACAGACATGCAAATAAAGAAAAGATAACCTTAGTTGGAATGCATAACCATTATTTGAAAGCCTAATTATTGTATGCTAAAGTTATCAAAAGCATGGCTGCTGCCACCTAGCTGCCATAGGAGTAGGCTAATGTTTTTTGGATTTTAAGGATTTATTGCAAATGTATAGTTTTCTAATTTTAGAATAGATTGTATTAGTTATTATAAGGTTATTATTTTCTTACAATGCTAAATGTTATATACAAATTTGGATAACTATCTTATCCTTTGCTTTCATTTCATTTTAAAATAAATCAACCCGATTAACTAATCAACTACCCAAATTCTGTTTTATGTTGCTGAACGATTATAGACTAGAATACAATATACTGAAGGAATGCTTTAAACCAAGAAAAATTAAGGCAAAAAAAGGTTAATCATTCTCTTTATAAGCAAATAATTTTATGTTTTATTGAGGATCTGTTTTTTTTTCTTGGCCTTTAAAGAAATTACTTTGATGATACATATTTTTCATGTGCTGAATAACTATAGCTGACCTTATTTATGTTGCAGATCTTACATTTTTTTCAAATCAAATATATTTACATTAGTTGTGCATGGAATGCCATCAGGTACAGCTACTAATGTCAATATAACGCCTATTCTAATATAGTAACTGTAAGCTTGTGTTTGCCATTGTTATTGCAAAGAAACAGACTCTAGTAAAAAACAAAAATAGTTTTACAGCTAATTGTCCAGTAGTACCCACCTTTCATCCATAGACTACCAGCCCCATGACCTTGATGGACAAGCGGTAGATGGATGGATAATTTTACAGTTAAAATGTATCTAGAAGTTTAAATGAACAAAGTAGTTTATGACAAACAACTGTTTATAAGACACATTTAGTGCAAAATTTGAAATAGGCACATTTCTTTTCTCCTGAGAAAATCCATATTGATTACCACCCTGTTACCTTTATAATTTATTTATAAAAACAGTGAAGCATAAACAGTTCTATAAAAGAATGCAACCAAGAAATATTTGAAAAAAGGTAAGAAGAAAGAACATCTTGCATTAAAATATTTATTTCACCTGGTGTTAAAAATACTGTATGTAATGGTAGACTAATTATTACCAAAAATGTGCTCATCACCCCTTTAAATGACATAATACTAACTTGCTTGAATTATCTAGACCTATAGTCTTTCCCCAGTTTATTCAAGTTACAAAAAAATGATATATATTTACAGTATCAGAAATGCAACATGATGTCCTTTTCTTACATCCAACAGTAATAAACAGATAATAATCCCAGAGTGAAATCTCATTAAGACAATGCTGTTAAACAAAGTATGCGGTAAACAAAAAAGATGACAGAACCGCTGTGGTCATATCCAGCATTGAAACAAATCTTGCACACATCAAGTCATCCTTAGATCAAAGCAGTGAGACTGCATTAACCTCCCTTCTCTTTGTGGTTTCTGCCGTTCTGCTCCACACTGCCTTGCTGTGGCTCGGCAAAGAGCTGCACCTTGTCTTTAAGCCGAGCACAGAGGTAGGCTAAATCTTGTTTGTCCAGAGAGTGTGCCAGAGCCAGGTAGGCTGACAGCGTCCCGGCCAGCAGCAGTCTGTCCAGGGATAAGGCCGGCAGCAGCCACAGGATGACGACCAGCTCCAGGCACACAGGGTGGCGGAGGTGGGACAGGAGGCGCTGAGCAGGCAGTGGCTTCTGGGAGAAAGGATCCCCCATACCAAGGCACTTATAGTAAACCTAAGAGGAGAAAGGAGCTTATTCCAAAAATATATCAGGTTTAGAATAAATCTACTTCTGAATGACTGGTCTTAGTATTTTATTTGACTTTTGGAAATATCTGCAGGTAAATAAAATATATAAATATATTTTTTTGTCTATGAGCAACCTCAGTCATTGGAACTTATTTTTCATTGTGTTTCTGTTTGTTCTCCTCCTGTTATTTTGCAGAGAGAATTGTATTTGTCTGTTCTGGATAGTAAGAAATTCTTAAACTACATATAAGGTAGAACATATATGAGCCTTTCAACCACAGAACTAATTTTAGGACCATTTTATTACTTCTTTTCCCAAACCCTGTCTAGAAACTTTGCTTCTGGTGTGAGACTTAAGTTCATACGTGATCATGCCGAAGCTTAAAACACCTACAGGGAAACATGAGGCTTGCAGCAACATCATATGGGTAACATTTCTTCCTTAAAGGTTCAAAATATCCAAAATCATCAATTGCTAGAAAGTTGAAAACTTGATAGATGATAAATTACTGAGGTTACATCGTCCATAATCCTCTTCCGTCTAAGACTCAACTCAGCATGTAAACTTCACACCAATAGAAAGAAACTTAAACCTCTTATCTTTTTTGGAATAATGGAAAAAATATTAAACAAAGAACTTTGTTTTGTGATATGATTAGGAAGAAGTCGAAATTAAATTAATGGATTTAATAAACGGTCGTTTTTCACTATACAATGCCAAATAAACTTTTTGCAGTAAAAAAAAACAAACACGCAACTTGTTTCTTAATTCATTGTTGTTCTTTTAGTGTCTTCTAAGTTTAAGAAATTTGGTTTAATTCAAAACAAAATATATCCCCTCTAATTTTCCTACCTGCTTAATACCCAGTAGTTCTGGATAATCAAAAATGACGAGGATGCTGCAGATAATGGCCCAGCAGAGGAAGTGCAGAGAAAAGCAGAGTAGAGGAAACCATATACTCCAGGGTGCATGACGCACTGACCACAGGCAGGGGGCGCCAGTCACTGGTTGCCAGTAACGCATCATAATCTGAAAATGTAAAAAAAAAAAAAAAGCACAACATTTAAACATGAGGTACATGTCTAGGGAAAATGGCCAACCAAGGAATTACTGAAAATAAACAGAACTTGAAAAAGTCTGTCCTACGCAGGATAGAAAAAATACAAAGACAAAACAAAGTAAATTACAGTTTAATTAATTAAGCTGATTACAAAACAAACATACGAGGAGCTACAGGAAAAACGTCAGGGTAGAAGCGCAATTACAGCCAAGGCAAAGACCAAAAAGTAAAGAGCTTATAAAACATCAAACAACCAAACAGAGCCTAGAAATGCTCCAAAGCAGCTAAAAAATAAATTGAAAACAGCAAAATTTCAATTTGAATTTCAAATCTTTTTTTTCAATTTTGAATTGAAAAAGCTTCCAGGATGGGAAGCGAAACGTCTTTAAATTTGGAGACAAAGTCCAGTGGATTGTTTTCTTTAACTTTTTTTGGATGACTATGACCTGGATGACTGAGAATCTTAACAAGCGTATATTAAAATATATATTTATAAAATATTTGCTCATGAGTATGACAGAATCAATCAAATTTGAATCAATTTGACTGTATGACCTGGTTGAACTGTAAGGTGCCTTGAGATGACTTCTGTTGTGAATTGGCGCTATATAAATAAACTGAATTGAATTGAATAGTATCTTAACAAATGCTCTTAATAATATAAGACATTCGTGGCTGCAGCTGTGGTCTGCTTGGAACAAAGATCAGGTTTTACAAACCATGAGGTGATGACTGTACCTGAAGAGCGAGAGCTGTAGTAAAGCAGTATGCTGTCCTGTTCAGGGCCCCCGTTACCGACTGTAGGGCCTGTTTGACCGGGGACCAAGCCAGCAGGCTGTGTTGTGCCGTAAAGAGAGCCAACAGGGACAGATCCACAACAAGAGACCACAGCACCGAGCTGTCCTTTAAGGCCATGGACCATGGGATGGAGTCTTTAACAGATAAAATCAGCAAGAAGTCAAAAAGTTTCCCATTACAAATAGTTACTGACAATAGAAATTTGCAATCTGCAAAAGAAAATAAGTAGAATGTTTTAAAGGCTTTGAAATTCAACAAGACATACAGCTACTGTAACCATTTATACTAAAATTGTTCTTAAAGCTGTTTAATGGAGATACTCTGGTCTGGACGTATTATTTATTTAAGATGATGTGGCATGAGACTAAACAGGGTTTAATCTCCCAAACCGCTCTAATATGTCTTTTAACAGCATGTGATGTACATGATGGCTGGCTGTGACATAATTAACGTGTATTATAAGCGTCCGTTTAAAATCAAAGACTTTCCAGCGGAATTTATTTAGTAGTTCTTAAACTATTGTATAAGAAGGAAACTACAAATATCTCAAAATTGCAACAAAAATCTATTTAACAGATCGATTCAAAGGTTATTTATGCCTGATGGTTAAACATTAAAATATGGACAATTTTTACGCATTTTGATCATTTTAGCCGCCTACGCTTGTGTTCATGCATATAATTGTACCACCATTATACTGTTTACTAGTAATTTATATTTAGTATTTTTATGTGATGTCACGTTTTTTGTTTTTTTTTTTATTCCTTGTTAATTTGAAAGAAGTGTTTGCTAATGATGTAAAAAATGTGGTTCTAGTAGCGTCATTGTGTCTGCTGAAGATCACAAGATTATTATCAATAATTAAGTAGTAGTAGTAAATAGTGAGCTTTTTTTAAGGTAATTCATTTTGTTGAGGTCTGTTATGAAATCTGTGTCTGAGTCTTTTTGTCTGATAAGATCTTAGGTGAAACTTTTTGTAGTAAATTGTCTCAAATACGACACCAGCAATCTGATCACACTATCAATAAATCTTAAAACCTTATATTCTTGTACCTGTAGCTGAAATCCCTTTATTCTTGTTATGATTTTTATGGAAAATGTATTTAAAAATATTTCCTCTACTGTTATATGGTGATTGACTCAGTAATTAATAATCCTACTTTTTAGACAGCAGTTATTCTAAAAGGTTTTCATGTATTTCTTTTAAACTTGATCCAATATTTCTTTGCCCCATAACAGGCATATTCCCATAACACTATCAGTGTTTTTTTAGAGAAGTCATGAATGTTTTCATACTGTTTAAAGAAGAAATCAGTGTTTGTAAAAATGTTTGTCTTCTTAGTGTGTTTTTTTTATTTCTGTAAGGCTCTAACTAAACTAATTTCTGACATGCTGTTCCTTTTGCTCATGTTGTTCTTCTATCAGGCAGTAACTTATTGTCAAAGTTGCTGCATTATACCATTATTTTTTGTTTCTACCAGGTAAACTAAAAATTACAACTGGGGATCTAAACAGGTCTAGTCGAAGCATTTTTCCCCCCACGTTTATAAGAAACATCTACGTTCTGCATTGATCTAAAATCTAGAATACCGGTATATATATATCTCTATATATATCTCTATATATAGAGATATATATAGAGATATATATAGATATTTTTTTTTCAAAGAAAATAAGATTTTATTTGTTAAAAAATTGTCTGTTCCTCTAAATTATAAATTTTTTTTATAATTTTTTTAATTAGATATATATTTACTAGTTCTATACATTTCTGTGCTTTTTATCCTTTTTTATTCTCTTTTTTAAAACAATAATAATAAATGTGCTTGGTGAAAAGATTTTACACTCCACATACATCTGCTATAAAGGAGGTTTCTGTGTGTAAGAGTAATTTCTTGAGGTAGAAGCAAATGTATGTTGTTGATTTTTAGTAGTTTCAACATATTGTCATTACTCTAGTTTTTAAGACACACAAAGAAAATCCTATCAGAAATACAAATAAACAAAAAAAAATTTCTGATGTATTTTTAATTATTAAATTATTATTGCATTTTGGTTGTATAATTTAGAGAAAACCCTGATGCTATATCCTTTAATCATAGGTCCTGCTATTTTTGCAGTAGGTAGGTAGATGAGTAAAAGTGAGTAGATTTTTTTTTTTTTTAATTATGTATTATAAATATATTGGAAAAGTTAGGTAAATTAAAATACGTTTCAGCCAAGACCGGATCTCAGACCTATGTTTGCTTTGCAAGGTGTCAATGAATTACATTTACACGCAAGTGGTCCCCGTGAATACCCTATAACGTTAAATACATAAGTGGAATTTACAGTAAGTGAGTCATATCAGTGAAGAAACAGAGATGCATCTTGTAGTCTGAAGTCCTTTCAATTCTCTTATCACCCTTTATACAACAATTTACAACTCAACAGATGTAACTGATGAAGAAACTAAAATATGACTGGTACATATTATGCAAGTTGTTGAAACCCAGAGCAGGGATCGAACCGGCGCAGTCGGAGTTACTGTATTGCAGGCTCTATAAAAAGTGAAGTACAATTGTCTTCAAAAACAAAAATGCAATTCGCCCAACGTGGGGCTCGAACCCACGACCCTGAGATTAAGAGTCTCATGCTCTACCGACTGAGCTAGCCGGGCGCTGAGTGCCTCCGAAAACGAGGCGAACTTATACCGTCACACCCCAACATATGTATATTTTCGCATTCCACCAGTGTTTCACAAGTAACGAAAAGCTGTCCTTTTCAGCCTTTCCTCTTAAACAGTGTTTTGGCTCGATGCTACCTCTAGCTACAGAAAATCATACCTTGACAGAGCGTCGTCTCTCCTGTGATGTTATGATAGATAGGTCGAAACGACACAAAGCGAATGAAGTCTGCCCCGGAGATGAACACAAACAGCAGGTTTAACAGAGAAACCGTGCAGAGAGCCCAGTTACGGGCTGTGACTGACGCCATTTCAATCAGCGCTGCTCTTCATTTCATGCTCACACTCATAGTTCCGGGAGAAAACTGGGTGTCAAAACGGATTATTACCACACGATGGCGCTGTTGTATGCATAAAGCTGCTAAGTTCATTTAATTAAATTGATTTGATTTGGACTAGGCTCGTTATAGTAAATCGATGTAGTGATTCATAGAAAATAATATATATAGTATATAATATATATGATAAAAAAACTGCATACTCAATCCGTAGCAGCCAATGCAAGTTTAAATAAATATATCAAACCCTTCATTTCTATTATGAACTGTACATATATACCCCAATGCACCTTTTCTTTCTTTGGCACGTTCTTCTTTTTGACCATTTGAGCCAATGTAACAAGGACATTTCTCCACTGTGGGATCAATACAGTGAATCAATCAATCAATCAATCAATCAATCAATCAATCAATCAATCAATCAATCAATCAATCAATCAATCAATCAATCAATCAATCAGTGAGTATATTTGAAAGCCTTTGGATTTTCTATGTGGTTCCAAAAGGAACAACAATTTCTATCTAAGCTCAAAATATTTTATGGTTTAGTAATTTACACTATGTAGATTTGTAGTGCAGTTAAAAGGCAGTTTTGTAACTGCTGATCACAACTAAGAGTTACATATACATAACCAAATGAAACATGCAGAACTGTTTGTACATGTTTGAAAATAGACAAACATTTGTGGCCCATTTAGGGCCTATAATTCTAAGATGTTTATATTCTCCAAAGAAAACATTAATGTATCAAGGTTACATCAGTTATCCACTTCTTGCAAAATTGAAAGTATTTTTATTTTATATAGTTTACCTTTTCTACATGGTTTAATCAGGAAATCGAGTGCAAAATACTCTATAATGTGGACAAAACCATATATTGGGGTTTATTAAAATAGAGTTAAAGTCGCTATCAAGAATTTGAAAAGCTTCCTTAAACAAATAAGTCTTTAAATGTAGTAGTATAGACTTAAATCAAACAAAACAACAAAACAAAACCTTAATTCTGTCTTCACAAAGCATTACACATAAGAAAAAAGTCTGACCTGAATTTATTGGCTTATAATAAACTTAAAGAAAACCTTAGGAGAGCAATACACCTGTTACAAAAGGTTGTATGTCTTAAAAAAAGGTTTTTGTGAAAACGTTTTCAAAACAAATAAAAGGACATTTTATACATTATTACAACATTTTGAATATACGTTTGTTCAAAAGTACATATTAGGTTGATTTGGAATTACGACAATGAAAAATAGGTTGCTACTATGAAAACTACAAATGCCGGTGCCTCCAAGCCTGCTGTACAAGTGGGAACTTGTTAAATATCTCTACTTACAGTAGCCTTGTGTACTCATTGTAAATGCCAAAGATTAAATGTTGTCCTCCTCAATTTTCAAAATGTTGATAGGTATGCAAAACTCATACCTTTTGCATTTTCTTTTCTCCCACTTTTCTTTATAATAACTTTTTATTCTGCAGAGACCTTTGCACTGTACAATTACAGGTATTTTTCTTTAGTAGTGCATGCCAACCCGGTCATGTAAACATTCAAGTGCAACTAGAGCTTTACGTCAACAGGTACAGAACACTCTTTAGGCTTTTTCTGAGATTGCCACTGTGCTCTTATTGCTGTTGTTGCTTCTGTTTTTTTGTCACTCATTTTCTGACTTTGTTCCAAAGTTAAAAAGAAAACCCATCTTGTAATCTGCATTGAATGAGCTGCCGTGACAATGCTTTTGCAGCTCTATTAAGAGTACTAATATCCAGTAGTCTAGTTGTAAAAAAAAAAAAAAAAAAGAAGGGGGATGGTAGATATTTATTTATCCCCCCTCAACTCAAGCAATGCTAATATCCAAAACAGAGGTGCTCCACTGAGTATTTTTATTCCAGATTTACAAGCTCTAGGTCTATCCTGCCTTGGTAATTGCAGTTATCTCAGACTAACAACCTTCATACCCGGGGCTTGTAGTAAAATAACAATTAAATTGCAAACAGTACTCTGCAAAAAACAAATCTAAAAAAGTAATTGCTTCTTGAAATAAGTGCATTTGTTTTTGAATTGAGGAGGGAAAATGAGACACTTTACTGATGGAACAAGACCATTTACATTTAAATGAGGAAAAAACACTCATCCTTGTTCTGAAGCTTAGTATCCATATCTCTCAGACTAGCTCTGGCTAATTTCTATTTGCACAAATGGAGTCACGATAACATTCATAAGTTTGAGTTTTTTTTCCTTTATTTGTTGCTTACTACAAGGAATCAATGATTGAGACAACTATGAACTCAGGAAACCAAAGATTTTATTTATGTACAATGTCACAGTAACCTTGTCTGCTTTAAATAAGGTTAACATCACCCCTGTAGCATTCTACATGGTAATATTTGTTACGTGATTCCACTCGAATGGACTCTGAAGAGCCCTAAAAAAATGTAATAAAGGACATAAATAAAGTGTACGTGCATGATTTAAAATTCTGGTTGTAGAAGAATTTGAACCTCACCTGTGTTGGGAGTATCGGCTTTGTGCAGGCATAACAAAGAGGAGACTGGACCCTGAAACCAGGAGGGAGTCTCAGTGAAACTTAAAATCTCATTATTCAGGGATTCCCCTACCTAACCGTGGTTAGAGCCAGAGGGCTCAGCCTTCATGCTGTTATTTTACCTGTGATAGTCGGTGATGCAGTAAACCTTGCAGTCTGAGTCCACAGCGAAGGGCTGACCCTGCAGCTCCTGTCTGCAGACCACACAGCGAAAACAGGTTGGGTGGTAAGATTTCCCTCGAGCTTGCAGAACCTGTTTGTTTAGCATTAGTTATTTTACTCAGAACTTGAGAGCATCAAAGATGCCTTCAAACAAGGAAATAAGTAAAATGCTTGCCAAATCTGTGATTGAACATCCGCAACTGTTACACACTTCTTCAGATGGGTGAACTCCAGAAAACTGTAAAAAGAGCATCCAGGCGCAGTTAAAAACACATTTATCTGATAAATTAAGGGCAAATAAAATAGATTCTTACCAAAAAATCATCTTCACAGTATACGTGTCCTGATACTGTGAAAAATGGCTGTCCTTTTAGTTGTTTGCCTGATGAATGTAAAGAAATTAATTACCTTAATAACCTTTTTTTCAAGTGTGTACAGGTTTTTACGAATTGATTCACTCTAATGTTCTAAAATTAGAAAGTAATTTGTCTAAACTGTATTTACATCATCATAAACATAGCAACCTTTCAGTAACCAAAGAACACCAGTCTTAATAGATTAATATACTTCACATTTCTCACTGATGTACTTCTGGAAGAAATCCTGGACTTTAAAACTAAAATCTCTACAAGTTGTCGTTATTTTATAGTTAATTTATTCAGATGTTTTATGAGCATTTTCTACGACCACATTTAGAGGCAGACTGAATCTTCCCTTTGGAAAGACAAGTTTATCACATCTAGGCTGCAGAAAGGAGGACACTCAAAAAGCGTTTACACAAAACATCTCTATGTTTACAGACAATTTGGAGCCGCAGTTTAGATTGCATCCAATACTGTGTAAATATCTTGAGTCATTCCTCCTGTCTTTATATGCTGTTTCCTGGGCATATTTCCTTGTAATCTTCCATGTGAGATGGATCTGATGTTCTTAAGGGTTTCTGCAAGGCCTTTAATGTTTTTCTTTAGTTTGGCAGTTTTTTTTAGCTGATGTGTTTTAATTTACTCTGACATATGGATAGTTCTGCAAACACAATCTTTAAATATGACAGGCTACATAGTCTTAAGAGATAAATGAACAACTGTCAGAAGAGAACAAACACATTTTATTTTACCTAGTTGCATGTTGAGTGTGATACACACCATGTCACCATCTACTTCTCTGTAAGCTGACTCTGATCTTAACTATTCAGTTATCCCATCAAACCCAGTTTTCACCCAGTCTAAGACCCGCTCCCGAGTTTCCAGTCCCGGATAACCTCTCACAGAAAGCAGTTACACTAAATAAACTTTTTAATCTGCTTCAGTCGCCTGAGTGTGTTTGACATGTGGGCCAAAAAACTTCCTAAAACCATGTCAAACAGTGGACACACCTTGATTTAACACGTCCCTTTGCTCTATTTTGCCATATTTTTTTCCAAGCCTGTTTCATGTGTTTACTTTTTTAATCAAGGCTAATGAAGCATGGTTGATTAGCAATCTCTGAATTGTATTTGGTCATTTTAACAGAATTTTTATTTATTATTACTTTTGTCATTCAATTTATTTCAGTGAACATTGTGGGGTTTTCTTTTATTAAATGAGGGGTACCATCAATTTCATCCAAGTGTGTATATAGGAAACAAAAATGGTTCAAAACTTTCTGAATAGTTTTACTTTTGCTTAATATCCTAGAGACCCTGTAACAGAGTTAATGTTTCTCAAGGTTACCACAAGTTATGAAATCACCTACTTTCTGAGTCTATATGCAGTCATATTCCAGTCCACTACCTGTAATTTTATAAGTTAACGTCTGTAAATCTCATTTATTAATGGACTAATGAAAATTATATTTTTATTAAAGGCTCTCTGTATACACTCACCCTCTCCCATCTTTGGTGACTGACTTGCTGTCTGCCAGCTTTAATTCCTCCACAAAATACAGTGAGCAGACAATGAACAGAATTTTAAACCATCCTGATTATCTAGGTTTTGTGACCTCACTAATTGTTTCCCACCTGATTCCATCCGTAGTCTCCTCTATAGCAGATGCAATCACCAACTTCCTGTCTGCCCCCTTACCCTTTACTTGTATTTATCTCCATTAGGTTGCATTGTCAAACAATGTGTATCCAAAAGTAGCAAATAACACATATTGCCAATGCAGTTTTAAAAACAATATTCAAAAATGAATCACTTTGTATAGCTTCTCCTACAATTCCATCTAATATTTAACCAACCAGTCACCTTCCCCTGTCAGTCCTAATACATTATTCTCTTCTTCTCTTTCTCTGTGTGGGAGTTTTTTGTAGGGAAGTCCTGGGACGGCTGCAACACTTTTTGCATTTGAGTCAAATTATTTTAGTCACAGAGTAAAACAATTTGACTCTGTTACTTGCAATATATGTAGTGTAGAAAATACACACCAAATATGAATTACTTTTAAAAAAGTGACTTATAGGTACTTGTGGATACCAACAACTGTTCCCCATGAGGATAGGTTCTCTTCCTGAGTTCTCTTCTCCTTGGGATTAGGTTTGGGACTAAGGTATGAATTGAGTTTAGGTTAGGTTTAGGGTTAGGTATGTGTTGGCAATGGCTGAGATATATTCAGTGACTTGTCTCCGTTGTTGATCACATTGCATGCAAAAACAGCAGGTATACTGGAATGGATGACTATATATTGTCTGACTGTTGCTTTGGTTCTCCTCTTCTCTCTCACTGTGCAATAACACATGCCAACTACTGTGTAGCCTGTGTAATTTTGTACTTATTTGTAAGGCCAGTACATCTCTGCAGTTCAAGTGCAATAATCCAAGACAACTACTGTGTAGTATTTCCTTAGCTCTCTACTGTGAAGATATATTTCCATCTGAAGGAAACATATTCCAGGACATTACAACAGTTTAATGCTTTTTTTTTTTACTATATAGACTCTTGTTATATTGTCCGTCGTATTTTTATTTTAAAAGCCATCTTGCCTTAACTCTGCTTGAACCAAAATTTCCCTGAAGGAGTAATCCCAAGGGATAAATAAAGCTGTGTCTAAGTCTATCACTTTTTTTGCACCATTGATTACTATAATATTTATATACCAAGATAACTTACTGCAAATGCTGCAGGTGAAGCATGTGTTGTGGAATAAATGTCCCATCGCTCTGCAGGCTCCTTCTGTGACATACACTGGTTCACCGCATTTAGTGCAGCTTCCTGAATTCCCACCATAAACAGAACCCGGGCGTAACATACAGAACCATACAAAAATATGTAGTTAATGTATGTAAAGAAAGTGCAAACCATGAGCCATGTCCATCCTTACCAAAGCAAAGGCTGGGACTGTATCTAGGCTCCATGTCTCCTGTTTGTTCCCAGTTGTCTGTTTCCCACTCTGACAGAGTTCAGAGGCTCTAAATTTACAGACAGCTGTAAGGAGAGCTGATCTCTGGGTTTACTACTGTTGCTTCTTAGAGCGCAACAAGTTTGCAGACGCCCTGACTCCTCGACAGTGGCTACCTTGTGGGTGGCAACAGACAGGGACAACTGGTATAAATTGAGAACATGGGTAATATACCAACAGAGCTTCCGCAGTCAGCTGCTGGGGATCTCAACTGAACTATTCCTGTAGCTACTGTTTTTATAAAGACATAACATAAACTAAAAAAGTGTCTGTTAAAGCCTGTTAGAAAATAACAATAACTCACACTCAGCATGCATGTAGGGGTCTTACAGTAAGACCCCTACAT